CCAGATTGAAGGCATGTTGGAAATCGACGACGACAAGGACAACACAGAGAGCGACTGCGAGAGATCCTGAGGATAGATGATGAGTACACTGCAAGGATAGGGAAAGTGGCAGAGAAGGACWGGGAACGAAGGGTATAAATACTGAGGATAGTGACTGAAATGATTACCTGAGCAGTGAGGTAGAAGGGTAATCGTGACTGGTGTTGCATGCCATGGACATTACGTGTATGCTGTGAAAGTAAAACCTCGCATGTTCTGTCAACATTTGCATGTGTATGCTGTGAAAGTAAAACCTCGAACGTTCTGTCTACATTTGTATGTGTTTATCTCTATGCACGGTGCTTAGAACTTGCGGGCGGTACCCGCGATGATTGGCACTGTATAGACCTGTCACTCTTTCATTTTACATTCACTGTCTTTATCTCTCTCTCATCATTTTTAACCCTTTTCTTTCATGATATCATAGTGGCGATTTGTTGGAGATTACTATAGCGTGGAGATTACTCAACGATTTTGGAGATTCTATTTTACTTATCCGGTGTGTACTGAAGACGATCAACGGCGTTGTGGGTTTTTTTATCGATTTCAAGAACGAAGATTACCTACCTGACGTTCCCAAGCTTCAAGGAAGATGTCGTGTTCGCGATCATCGTCGGACAGGAGGCGGCGCAGACACTCATCATCATCTTCCGGATCTCAAGGGAGGAAGCGCTCAAGAAGGGGGAGATCGAAAACTCTAAGAGATAGAAGACATAAGTCAAGATCACCATCGTCACGGAGAAGAAGAGCGGAGTCAGAATCACCAAGGTAGTTCTCGAGACCATTGTGGGAGTAAAGACGGAATGATTTCCCCCCACCAGGAAATAGAGCGTGGTTTACGACGGATCTAAAGGAAGAAATATTTAAGCTCCGTCGGGAGATGGACAAAGTTCTCAAGACACTGGAGCAACTCACACGAAAGACAAGTGAAAAACAACCAGCTCCTCCGAACAAGGAAGACACTGCAAAGAAGCCTGAGCTAACTCCGGACGCGCTCAAGTCCATGATTGATGAAGCACTGAAGCCGACAGAGATGAACCAAGGGGGACAGAATCAAGCTGGTCCAAGCGCAACCAGTCAAAAGAATGCAGAGGCGGAAGATAAAGTAGAAAGGATGGTATCGGAAGTGCAGAAGGAGGTCAACAACCTGAAGCTACTAAAGTATGATCTGGCGGTTGTGAAGGGCGCGTTGCAGAAGATCAATGAACCGATTCGTACCTGCACTCCGATCGTGTCGTCTTCGGTTCATCCGAACGGATACGTGGGCACAATGGCTAGACTACCAACTTCAGTACATGGTAGCCACAACATTCCGAGCTGAAGCATGCCAAGTAGAAGCGCACCGAACAAAAGCAAATTGGGACGCGTAATCCCTCCACACCCCAAGAGAGGACGAACGAAGATTAATCGCAACGTGTCGGCAGCGAAGTCGAAGGCAAAACGGAGCATTAATTTCGGGGTCNTAATCCCTCCACACCCCAAGAGAGGACGAACGAAGATTAATCGCAACGTGTCGGCAGCGAAGTCGAAGGCAAAACGGAGCATTAATTTCGGGGTCGAACCGATGACGGACATGCAACTCCTTCGTCTTCACTACATGGACCTGAAGGTCTTATGCAAGATGCATGACATCAGGTACAAGGACAAGCCACAAACGATCTCGGCATTGAGGCAAGTTTCTGGATTGATCGCCTACAAGGGGCGGAACTTCAACCGGGATTCTGATCTTGAAACACAGATCATGCCAGATCCAGATAATGTCAGAGTGTCCAATACAACTGGCGGCGACACAAGTGAGGATGATTACGAGAGCCTTAGTACAAGATCAAGAGGGAGTGATGAGTATGACTCATCCGACACATCTTTGAGCGCCGAAGATCTGTCGAGAAGGTAGAAGACACCTCGGCATCAGGTGACCTCACCACGACACAGAAGTGGGAGCAGATACACAGACTATCAATGAAAATTGAGCAACTAGTTAGTACAGGGAGTTTCACCTTGGTGTAGATATATGTACGCGGGGAGGACAGGAAGACAGCCCGACAAGAGATGGACTGAACACATAAACTTGGCCAAGAATCCAAATGGAGGAGCATAACGGAAACTATGCAGTTGGTTGCACTTCAGTACATGGTAGCCGCAGCATTCCGAGCCGAAGCATGCCAAGCAGAAGCGCACCGAACAAAAGCAGATTGGGACGCGTAATCCCTCCACACCCCAAGAGAGGACGAACGAAGAATAATTGCAAGGTGTCGGCAGCGAAGTCGAAGGCAAAACGGAGCATTAATTTCGGGGTCAAACCGATGACAGACATGCAACTCCTCCGTCTTTACTACACGGACCTGAAGGTCTTATGCAAGATGCATGACATCCGGTACAAGGACAAGCCGCAAGCGATCTCGGCAGTGAGGCAAGTTCCTGGATTGATCGCCTACAAGGGGCGGGACTTCAACCGGGATTCTGATCTTGAAACACAGATCATGCCAGATCCAGATAACATCAGAGTGTCCAGTACAACTGGCGGCGACACAAGTGAGGATGATT